GAAAAGTCAGAGACTACACATATACATGTGGAAAAAGAGTTTGAACAAGGAGATTCTTCTGAAGCAGAACCATCACATGATGATCAAGAACCAGAGAGTTCTGAAGCTTCAGCAACTCGTCAATCAGATCATGTGATAAGACGTCTCAATTGGCACTCATATTATATTATAGAAGGTAATATTACATACTGCCTTTTAACAGATGACGATGAGCCATCAACATACCAGGAGGCAAAAAACAGCTCAGATGCTTCATTGTGGATAATGGCGATGCAAAAAGAAATTGAAGCCTTTCATAAAAATAATACATGAGACCTTGTGCCACTACCACAAGGAAGGAAGCCAATTGGTAACAAATGGGTCTTCAAAATCAAACGAAATGATGACGATCAAGTTGAGAGGTATCGTGCAAGATTGATGGTCAAAGGATATGCTCAAAAAGAAGGTATTGATTTCAATGAAATCTTTTCTCTTGTGGCTCGACTAACAACAGTTCGAGTAGTCTCGGTAATGTGTGCTGCATTGAGCTTACATCTAGAGCAGCTAGATGTTAAAACAATTTTTCTTCATAGAAATCTTGAAGAAGAGATTTATATGCTCCAGCCTGAAGGTTTTGAAGAAGAAGAAAATAAGAACTTGGTTTGCAGGTTGAACAAATCTCTGTACGATCTAAAACAGGCGCCGAGGTGTTGGTATAAGAGATTTGATTCTTTCATTATGTGCCTTGGATACAACAGACTTAATGCAGACCCTTGTGCTTATTTCAAGAGGTTTGGTGATAACGATTTGGTTATATTGTTGTTGTATGTAGATGACATGTTGGTTGCAGGACCCAACAAAGATCATATTGAAGAACTGAAGGCACAACTGGCTAGGGAATTTGAAATGAAGGACTTAGGATCATCAAACAAGATTCTGGGGATGCAAATTCACTGAAACAGAAGTAATAGAAAGATTGGTTTTCACAAAAGAATTACTTGAAGAAGATTTTGTCACAATTCAACATGCAAGATTGTAAGTTAATTTCTACTCCTCTTCCTATTAACTTCAAATTATCCTTCAGTTTGAGTCCTAACAGTGAAGAATAGAGGATGAAGATGTCTCGAGTGTTGTATGCATCGACAGTGGAAAGTTTGATGTTCGCTATGATATGCACAAGACCAGACATTGCACAAGCAGTGAGAATGGTTAGTCGGTACATGGTGAATCCAGACAAAGAGCATTGGAATACAATAAAGAGGATCCTGAGATACATCAAAGGGACCTCAAATATTGCATTATGTTACGGAGGATCAAACTTACTAATAAATGGGTATGTAGATTCTGACTAGCAGGGGATTTGGATAAATGCAAATCTCCTACAAGATATGTGTTCAAAGTTACTGGTGGAGCTGTAAGTTGGGTTTCAAAATTGCAGTCAGTTGTGGCTACATCCACAACAGAGGCAGAATATGTAGCAGCTACACAAGCCAGTAAAAAAACAATATGGTTGAAGATGCTATTGGAGGAGTTTGGGCACAATCAAGAGTATGTCTCTTTGTTTTGTGACAGTCAAAGCGCCTTGCATCTAGCAAGGAATCCAACATTTCATTCAAGGATAAAACACATACGAGTTCAGTACCACTTCATTCGTAAAAATGTGGAAGAAGGAACGGTCGATATGCAGAAGATCCATACCAAAAACAACATAGCAGATTTCATGACGAATGCGATCAATGCCGATAAATTTACCTGGTGTCAATCCTCTTGTGGCCTGTCAGAGACGTAAGCAACATGATGGTACAAGGTAGAAAGAATGATGTGAAGATATACTTGTTCTAATTAAATCTTCAAGTGGGAGATTATTGAAAATCGGTGAAAGCACCGAAAGTTGGGAATAAACAACTCCACCGAATGCACCATTATCAAAGACAAGGTTTTCACAGCAAATTTTTGTTGAAAAAGTAGTAAGGGTAAATTACACAATTTAGTCATTGTACTTTAAGATATTTACAATATTAGTCCTCAAGCTTCAACTATAATTACTCTAACCCATTTAGTTTCAAAATCATCCCAAAGCATTATAGTTTTCTCCTAATACTAGAGAATTTAGAGAGTTTCTTGAGAGTTGTTTTCTCCTTTTTATCAAGAGAGAATTATCATTGTTTTCTCATTGGTAGATCGAGAGAAGTTGTAATTCCTATTTTCTCATAGTGAAATTCTTTTACCGTTGCCCGTGGTTTTTACCCTATATTATTTAGGGGGTTTCCACGTAAAATTTGTGTCTTCTTTATCTTTATTTTTTTCTTAAATTATCAGTTACGATTTTGCTCTATCCGATAGCCGTATTCCGCAACATATAATCTTAACACGAAATAATAAGATTCGTCATGAAAATTAGTGGGGTCATAACTCCCACTCCCCAATATATATATACATGTAGTATATATATTAAATTATTAAGTTTGACCTCTCAAAAATTGTAGGTAATAAAATAAATTTAATTGTTCTAAAAAATGTATATGTTTTCTTCAAATTTAAAAATCACTTAAATATCATTTATTAAAATAGAGTTAACAAGAGTTATTTTTAAGAAAGAGAAAATACCTATTTAAATTTTCCAAGAGTCGAGGGTCATTACCAATGTTGAACAAATTATTTAAATTGTAGGCCAATGGGGAAGTCGATTGTAAACATGGACAATGAAGGTGAATGAGAAAAGGATTAAGTAAAAACGATGATGAGTTGGAGAGCGGGAGAGCGGGTGGAAAGGGTGGAACTAGGAAGGTGGGGGACCGGCAAGAAGGTGTAGCAAGAGGGGTTAGTTGATGCATTCACCCTCTTAATTTGATAAAAATATTTTTTTCAGGGTACGATTAGAAAAGTAATATATAATTTGATAAAATTATATAATTATATATTGTGTTTGATCAATCATTATAATTTATAACTTATAAAATTAATTAAACATTACTTTTAGTAATTTAAATTAAATAGTTATCGATACATATAAATTTAATAATATATACTTTATAGTTTTATATAAATATATATTCTACCCCATGATAGGTCACAACGTCACATGCAGGAGAATTGAGGAAGCTAAGCTTAGTCGAACCAAAAAAATAAATAATATGTAGGCCCAAGGCTGAAGCAGATGGAGACAATTTGTTGAAATTTATTATTTTTAGCCTCCTAGGAACAAAGAAGATGGTAGCTCCAAGTAATGCGGGACTTGTGATGGGTAGAGATTGACTTAGTAAATCGTTTTTTAAAAAATTTAAAATTATTATATATTTTAAATTTTTTAATATAATTTTATTAAATTATTTTTGTCTCTTATAATTTTATAAATATATTTCGTCGTAAGATTTTGTAAGTTTATTTCTAAAATAAATTTTTACGTCTATTCGTTCACGATAACAACTATCTATCTATATATCACAATGTAAAGGAGTAGAGATTAAAGACAATTAATCCGGCGAAATTATGATTTTTGTCTCAAATTTACATCATTTATATAGCAATAGCAAATGAGCTGATTGCGGTGAACTTTTTATATGATAAGGATGATTGATGAACTTGGGAAACAATTTATGTATATCTTTGTGGGGGTGTAATTATTATCAGTATCGTGAAATTGACCCCTACCCAGCAGGAAATATAATCTGGTGGTGGTCAATTTCAACTTTATCTTGATGCCATCAATTGTCAAATCCATATGTCCAATATGATAATTAAACAAAATTATCTATACCTAAAAGTTTCAATTTGGTTTGTCTTTTAACTTTTTTATTTTATGAAAGTATATACCTGATAAAGTTTACAGCCAATCATATTAAACGCTTCAAACAATAACTCGTATATACTAAAAAAAATTAGTAAAATAGATTAGACGTTAGATTATTCAAAGAAATAAGTCGGAATCTACGGTAATATCAATAAATTTTTGTCAGAAGGTGACAATTTTGATATTTTAATTATTATTTTTGTTTAAATTAAAGCTGAAATATTCTCAATCGATAATAATAAAGAACTAACGAGACTTCCAAAGTTGTTATCTGCCACCAGCTATTCTGCCAAAGTCACCAACTCCTCCATGTTACTGTAAATTTCAATTATTTTTAAAAAAAAAAAAACTGTAAATTTCAACCAATTTTATTAAATGTCCATCATTTAACCTTTTTATTAATTTTCTTTAATAGGAATCGGTATTTATAAAAAAACAAGTAAACAACTTTAGATTAATACATGTAATTAAATAATACAAAATTAATACACGATGGAGACCATATGTAGAGTTTTCCCCCTATAGGTAATATATATTTTATTCTGACAAATTCAAATTGAATTACAACATAAGCTCATTTTTTTAGTTTTTTTTTTGGAAAAATTGAGACTGTTAGAAAAGCATTATTCAAGTGATCAATCATGCTTTTCACTTATTAAAGAATAAATTCTTAATTTACAAATATAACAACAACAACAAAATCATATTTCCATATGTAATGGGGTAAGGGGAGGTAGAGTAGTAGTCTGCCCCCAATGTCAGAGTTGAGAGCAACTTCCGTGGAAGATCTCCGACAATCAGAAAATTAAAAATAAAAATAAAATGCAATACATATATAAATAAATAAATCCAATTCTACCATGATGGTGTCGTTTTCTTATTCAAATAAAAAAAAATCGTTTTTCTCCTGCTAGGCACCATCATTTAGTGCCCATAATTTGTCTTGCACGAAAAGAATAATTCATAATAAAATCAAGCATCTTGTTTATCGAAAAAATATATTCTCATACAACGTGACAACCCCGTAATTTGTCCAACGTAATTACACCCAAAAGCCCTCATTACCCTCTTGCATTAAACATAATTATCATACACACAAGGGCTTTACAGTCATTTAAGAGGCGGTCAAAATCCCAGGTCTAACGCCATTATTACCCGTAACATCAATGGCATCAAAACCTTAACCACTAATAGAAAAGGGTTTTAAAAAGGCCTTCGTCTTCGAACCCGCCATATATGACAACAGAAAACAAAAATTAGTGGATTTTTTTTTGGAAGAATAGACAAAAGAAAATGGCCGGCCGACATTTGTAGAAGACGAAGTGGAGCTTTGAAGAAAAATGGCGGTGCTAGGGTTTCAAGAACAAAGCTCAGTGAGATCAGGTTACAGAGCTGGAGCTGCAAGCCCTGACTCTGTTATATGCACTCTGGAAGCGAATTTCAGCCTCTTCTCTTCGGCTTCCGCTAGTGTCGATCGTTGCTCTTTTGCTTCTGATGCTCATGACCACGATTCTTTCGCTTCCGAAATATCTTTAGTAACTTCTCTAATTTTTTAACTTTTATCATAACTGTTTTTTCGTGCAATAAGCAGAGCAAGCTGTAACAGTGTACATTGTGATCGATCATTGTTGATAAACTTGCATGTTTATTTTTCCTTGCCTGATTTAAGATTTTCTTCTTTCTTTTTTCCGATTTTCTGAAAAGGAGAAAGAAGGAAACATTTTTTGAAATTGAAATGTGAATGTCTTTTGCAGCATTTGGCAGGAGAAGAAAGTGGAGATCAGAATGAGAGTTCGTGTGGACCAGATCCAGATCCAAACAAAGCTATAACAGTCCATAAGCACATTCGCCTCTCCAGAAAAGGAGAAAAAGTGAAGGGTACTTTCAATGTTTTCTTTCACTATTATCTTCTTTTGAAAAAGTTAAAACTGGAATTGCATCAAAAAAGAAAACGAATAAGCCCAAAAAAAATTCAAATTAACTCACACTCATTGTCATTGTCCGCCCCCCCCTCTTTTTTTCTTTCCATTTCGTGATAATACGCAGTAAAACAAGAAGAAAAGATGCAGCTCACACAAAGGACGAAACTCAACTCAGAGATTCAGCAAGAAACTCGTTCTCCCTAGCTCTTAAAGGTAGCCTTTAGTTATTTTTTGAAGTTGTGTTTGCTTTAGCTTATTATATTTCGGAAAGTAATAATTGCGAATTGTATAAATTAGAGTGTCAGGATAGGAGGACTAGATCTGACGCTTTGCTGAAGAATCATGATAGGCGAAGACCAGCGTCATTAGATCTAAATAATGTCTCTGGTTTGTCTCCACGGTTGGGGGCTGTGAAGAAAACATCTGTTGTTTCACGGAAATTGGGTGCATTTCCTAGTCCTGGGACACCCAATTATCATCATTACTCGAGTGTTGGGATGCAGAAGGGTTGGAGTTCTGAGCGTGTGCCATTGCACAACAATGGTGGAAGGAGGCAAGGGAATGCTGCTGGCTTGTTGGCTTTTAACAATGGAAGGACTTTGCCTTCAAAATGGGAAGATGCTGAGAGGTGGATTTGTAGTCCTGTTTCTGGGGGAACTGGTGGAAGGCAATCTATTGTGGCTCCGCAGAGAAGACCAAAATCAAAGAGTGGTCCACTTGGTCCTCCAGGGATTGCTTACTATTCGCTGTACTCTCCTGCGTTGCAAATGTTTGATGGGGGACATATGGGAAATTTCATGGCTGGTTCTCCTTTTTCAGCTGGCGTAATTGCCGCTGATGGTTTGACAACTCATTCTCGTAACCATGGTGGAGAATTTTCTGCTCGGACCGAGTCTTGCATGGCCCGTTCTGTTAGCATGCATGGATGCACTGAGATAGCAAACCCACCATTGTTATCTTCGCAAGGTAAATACCGATCGTTATCTAGCGAAATTTCTTGGTTAGATGTTATTATGAGCTTTTGCCTACATCAATTATCCCCATATGATGAGTGCCCTTTTAATTTTATGAGATCCACCATGAAAGTTCCTCTCCATTTTTATTGTCTTGTCATCCAAATTGGTAATATTAATATTAAGACTATATTTGATGCATCATGTATAAATTGGAAATTGTCATTTGGTCAACAATTTAAAGCCCTTGTTAATACATCTTAAATTTGTTTATTATTACCAAGTACACACGTCTTGGTACTTAATTTAGAAGTACAGACCGGTGGACATGAACAAAGTAGGTTTTTATTTCTCTACATTGGCCAAATTTATGAAACTGATGTATCTTTTTCTTAATATCATAATTCATGAAATATCAATATAAACATTTGCTGAATATAACCTTGATGTAATATCAAGAGATAGGTTTTCATCATCATGGTATTTACTATGACTATTGTACTTTATAAGTTATCTTTCGAATTGTTTTTTTTTGTCACCAAAAATGCAGAAGAAAATCTTGATGCCGTCAAGGATGCAGCCACTGATATTTCTCGAACTGTCTCAAGAAGAGACATGGCGACCCAAATGAGCCCACAGAGTAGTACCTATTCATCTCCCAAAGGAAGGCCTTCTTTCTCTACCTCCTCCCTATCGGCTCTGCCTATCATGGAACTGCTGAACATCCATTCCTCTAAATCAGAACTGAGAGATGTGCCGCTAGATGAAAGAGTCACAATGACTAGGTGGTCAAAGAAGCATAGAGCTCGAAACACTGGGAAGAGCTCAGTAATTGTTGATGATTGGAGAAAGAAAGCTGTTGATACTTGTACATCAACATGGGATGTGACAGAGACAGGAAAGAGCATTTCCAAGTATGTCTACCTTACTACAGTGCCTCTACTTATTTCCTAAGATTATTGATTTGATAGATCTTGCCTACGAAACTGCGTTGAATTTTACCACTTTAAACAAGTAAATACTAACTTGGTTGGGTGTAAATTTTTTCTGAAATGTTCATGTCATCTTCAGTCTTCAACTGATTAATATGAGAAGACATTGATTTTTGTAACACAAAGTATGATGATATTCACATGTCAGTTTCTTTCGTCCTCTTTTGCAGGATCAAAAGAGAAGAAGCCAAAATCACTGCCTGGGAAAATCTGCAGAAGGCAAAAGCTGAGGCAGCCATAAGGAAACTAGAGGTTTCTTTTCTCCTGAATACTTCTGCATCAATAACTGAAGTAATGTAATTAGATTTTAAGTAAATGATTAACCTTGAAGAGAAAAGCTAAAATCGTATTTATTAATTTGAACAGAGTAAAAAGTGTTTTTCTCCCATTGGAAGAACCTTTGGTTTTTCTCTTTAATAGAATAATATAAAACTGCTAAAAAAGGAGAAAATTGTGAGCTCAAATTCGATAATTTGCGATCAAAATATGACAGCTCTAGCTTGGGTAAAAACTTTATTTTCTTCATTATTACTGATATGACAATGTATTTCAGATGAAGCTAGAAAAGAAGAGATCTTCATCGATGGATAAGATAATGAATAAGCTAAGATCAGCTCAGAAGAGGGCACAAGAAATGAGAAGTTCGATGCTGACCAACCAGGCTCAACAAGCAAAGTCCTCGCATATGGCTTTATCTTTCCGGAGAACCCGCCAGATGGGTTCATTGAGTGGTTGTTTCACCTGCCATGCTTTTTAGTGCCTTAGCTATCTGTTACTGGTTCAATCAGACCAGAAATGCCGGGTAATTTCTATTTGCAAGGGTGATTTGTTTTCACTTTCTCCCTTTGTTCTTTTTGAACGATAACAACAAAAACATGAGATTCTGACTGGTTAAGGGATGTTTCTTTTCTCTTACCAGTTTGAAGAACAAAGTTCACTGGCGATGATGAATATTGTACATGAAGCAACTATTACATGGACACCATTTTATGTCGCTACAGTTTTGATTGAATGAAGCACTGCTACCTACATCAGAATTCCCAATCAGTCCAATACCCCAATTGCCTTGCCCTGGGACTTCCACGGTTTCCTGATCGTTTGACTAATAAAATCCTGTACGCATGTATGTATGTAAATCAACCTTCCAAGTATTTATCGCGTATTTCATGATATGACAGTTTGCCATGGAAATGGAGATATCGTTTAAGTTTTTTACTTTATTATCTCACAAGTAATAGTACTGATGAGGTGAGATGGATGCAAAGCATTGAAAGTTTGTCATTCAAAAGTTCTGAATGACCATTCCGTTTGGGTCTATATGATCTGATTTCAGCATACGATGTTTAAAAAATCTATCCTTCTTGTAATTCATCTCTGCTAATTAAGAGCTATGTGAGTGTCTATCATCTTTTCCTGTATCTCTCAAGTCTGTGTCTGAATGGGTCGGATTGGCATAATCTGTCAACGTTCGGATATTGACCGGCGGTGGATTAGTGAATCTTTCAGTTAGCAAGTAGAGAAGAAGCAGTAATGAGGTGAGTAAAGAAAAGAGTTAAATATTTACTGCTATATATTAAAAAGGACTGATACTAACCAACTCTAACTACTTCACAGCTCAGTTTTCCAACACTCCTCAAGTTGGAGAACAATAGATGTCTCTCATTCTCAACTTGCCCATCAGATATCCGTGTTGATGTGTACCCAAAGTTTAAGTAAAAATATCTGTCTTCTGGTCTTTGGAGGATACATGCTGTGTTTCTACAATTTATCTCAATGTGCTTAGTTCTCTCTTGGAAGATCAAGTTTGCAGCTATTTGCAAGGCTGCTTGACTATCACAATATAACGTCGTTGATGATTTATGTTCCACCCCGAGTTCTTCAGTCAACCCTTTCAACCAGACTAATTCTGCTACTGTGGAGGGTATGCATCTATATTCTGCCTCAGCCAAAGATCGTGACACCGTGTTTTGTTTCTTTAATTTTCAACAAACCAAAGAATCCCCCACCTTGATACAGTTTGAAATAGAATACGAACTTTTAGGCAATAAAGTAGAGGAAGAGGACTGATAAACAAAATCTGATAACCAGATGGGTGGTTTACTCACCCGAATTGACTTCCTAAGAGGTTGAACATTAGACGGTACAGACACTATAGGAGCAGGAGATACATCATCTGGAAGTAAGGCACTATGAGTATTTACTGCTATATATTAAAAAGGACTGATACAAGTTTATTTACAAGGATAAACAACCGTCTAACTACTTCTAACCAACTCTCAAACTAACTCACAGCTCAGATTTCCAACATAATCTAGGGGGGAATGAACAGATAGTTAATATAAACTCGCTTTCTTTATTTTGGGTCAGATGCCAAGTTCACATAATGGGTAATTTGGAACCCAAATGGAAAATGGGCGTTGAATCTGTACCCCCTTTCTACTATTTTCATAAAAATATCTGACATTTACCATGGAACTTTTGCTAGTAGGAAAAAATTGGATCGCACAGTCTTTCAAATAACAGTACACGTATAACATATAAATTCTTAAGAGAGTAATTTCTTGCCATTTATAATATATCATAATTATCAATATAATGGTGGAAAATAGACATTAGAACCAAGTTAAATACAATGGATGTATGATCTTTGGACCACCGAGTGCTATTATTGTGGAGTCGATTATCCAATGTAGTTGACGCACGTTCTTTTCTGGTGGTCGGTCCTTGATATTTCAAGGTGTCAAAGCCACAGCATGATTTGAATAAAATCTCTCCAAGCATTGAAATTTTGCTTTCAGATTTCTGTAAAAATATAATAGGAACAATATTTTCCATGGATACATCCCACCCCTCAAAAAAGGACAAATAGGAGAAAAGAACACTGTCCCAATAGATTAGATTTATGTCCTCGTTCCACTGGGTCGGAGGGACCCCTTTCTTTTTCCACTAAAATCTAACCCCGACCAGCCAACAAACATAGTTTAATGTTTTGTTTTTGTAACACAACAGTCAATTTTCTCTTTTTGGGTATATTCATTTTATATCACCTTGGACGCCTGGATATTTAACCATACTCATTCTCTATTTTCTGTGTCATTTTCTCTCTCAAGGATATATACATAGTTATGTTCACGTTTGGTGTAAGACTTAAGTTGAGACAAAGACGGGACGGGTAATTTTAGTAACATAGAGTTGGTCATAACGAGAGAGGCTGCACTTTTGTTTGTTGGAGGGTCATAGTCCGTATGGATTAGCCAATCACATTTTTTAAAACATTTTTAGGAAGATCAAACTCAAATTTAGGATTTTGTATCCAAAAGTGCCAGCCTAACGCGGTGGGAATCTCTTGGCACGGTAAAAAGAACATGCCCAATTTCGTTGGCATCTATCCTCTACTCAATAACATTTACACACTTAATTAAAATAAAACAATTAACAATATCTAAGAATCGCATAATATGCTGTATCGTAAGATTCTTCCATGAAATTCCAATAATTCTTGAACATGGAGCATCTCCATGTTAATATTGAGTTCACTTAATTCATTTAATAATTTTAAGAGTTCAATGCTTAACGCAATTAAAATTTCCCATTTCACTAATCTCGATTTCATATAATACATTTGTTTATGCATGGGTTCAGTCGTCGTCCCATAAGATATTAAAAGCATGTATTGAAAAATAGTGTGCAGCGAGGGATGGATGGGTTTACGCCATAAATGGAGATGACAAGGGGGCTCCCCTTTGCTGAAATCCACTCCTCCCTCTATGTTCTTATGTTGGACCCTTAGTGGGGTATGTCACATGGGTTTTCTGATAACATCTTTGACCATTTCTTATTAGTTATTAAATATGTATTTGGTTTTTAGGGTAAGGAGGAATAAATGGCTTTTGGGTGTAAGAATGAGATGCATTTCTCCATTTCGATTTTGGTATTTTCATGTTATCGAATGGAATTCTCTTTTGGAAAAACAAAAATAAAAGATTTGTGAGTGTGTGGAGAACGGGAGAGGGGCTGATGGTACGAAATTCCAAGTAAATTATATTTGTATTTACGAGGGAAGAACAGCCCAGTCCAGGACAAACTTAACATCCTTTCCCTTTGATGCTTACTAAGGGCTCACATCAATAAAATGACGTTTTAGTTCCTTGAACCTTTCCCATTTTTTCAAACCTATTATAATTCACATGAAAAAGACGTGTACCCTACCATAAATAGTCACTCTCTAAAACTTTTATTCATGAAGTGAAATGTAGATACAAATTTATTTTTATAAAAATAGTTAAAATAAAATGAATTTGGTCTTTTAAATAAGGTTTAGGTCTAAATACTGTAAAAAAACGTAAAAATAAATTATATAGTCAACAATTGAATATGAAATTTGTTGTGACCAAAAAAAGTAGGCAAGGAGAGGATGAAAAACTATGGCAATAATAACGGGTGCCGTAATTGGATGCAACTATGACAATAAGGTGAAGGAAATAGTATTCATACATACTAATAGATGACGTGGTTGGCATTTTAGTGGTTGAAATGGCATAAGCTGGTATGGTTTCTGCTTATGGTAGCATGGATGACATTATGCCAACAAAAGTTTGTTTAAAGTGGTTTGCTGTGGCAAGTAGTATTGGACTATGCTAAATTCAGAGGTAGGTTTTGAGTTGGCGATCGAGAATTGTGGGAAATCTCCAATATTGAAGGATGTGCATTGATCTACGTTATTATGCGTATAGCTTGGAACGCTTTGATGATGTACTTTTTTTTTTTATAGAAGAAAAAGAATAGTTGGATGTTAAAGAATTCAGAGCTACAAGGAAGCAGAATCCTTGGACAGATCAAAGAAATAGTGACAGTGAAACTTTATAACCTCCATAGATTTAAAAGGTGATCCTTCACTTTGTTCAACCATTTTGCTTATTTTTGTTTGTTTGGTTTTAGGTTTGCTTTGTGTATACGTTGTAGAGTATATAAGCAAATTAAGTGCAAACTAGGGGGAGAGAGAGAGAGTTGAGTATGTTCACGTGAACAGTTGTTGAATGAAAACGACGTCATCGAATTGCCATTATATAATCCCCTCCATCGCTTTGTCAGTCTTCACGTGGATTTCCCCATGCATTTGTCTCTCCCAAAATGACTTGGAACTTCACCTTAATCCCCACCCAATTTGGCTCCTTCAATCCTCCACTTTCACACCTCTCATCGGTTAATTAATCTCAGTTTCACATTAACAGGCTACTTGGATTCTTCTTCTTTGTTTGCTGGAAAGAATCAATGCGCATTTCGTAGCTATACTCATCGATGCTCATAGCTAAAACAGGGTGACCGTGATTGGAAAATGAAAGCTGCATTGATCTAATACCAACTTTTGATTCTTTCAACAATCGGCCTATCTGATACAGCAATACAACATTGACTGCATGGCCTAAACATGGAGACAATTAAATTACTTCTCCATGTTCATCATCGTGATTATCACTTGGTTTTATTTAATTTTTATACATCCAATTAAATTACTTCTCCATACTTCTCCTTTTGTTAATCTAGCTTAGCCAAGCATCTCCAAATTGCTGGTGGTTCTGAGTAGGCTGATAAGGTTTTCCCATTGGATGAAAACTCCCATTTGACATTGCAACAGGGAACCCTAAACCGGTTGGCCTGCTAGTGGAAGCTCTCTCCAGTGACTGCACCTGAGTCTTCAAAAACTTGACATAGTGAATAGCCTCATCTAACATGGACGCAGTATCCATTTTGGTTCCTCCGGGGACAAGTCTCTGAAGTATCCTTATCCTCTCGCTTATCCTCTCCCTCCGGTGCCTCGCCGCCACACTTTGAGGGTCCTTTGAAATCTTCACGTTCCTCCTCTTCGGTGGCTTCACTGATTCAGGGTCTATATGAATCGGTTGCATAGCTGCTATCCGGAATATCATCTCCCTCATCGCAGCCACCGAGTTCTTGTTTTGGTAAGTCGTGGAATAAGCATTTGCACCTGAACCTGACGATGGTTCCCCTGCTGGGGTAAACGAGAAACCTGGACCTCCTGGTTCTTCAACCGGGATTGAACCACTGAATGAAATATTGGCTGTGGTTGGCAGGGTTATGAATGGGCCGGGTGAACCGACCTGTCGGTTCTCAACAAAATGAGGCATGCCATTGATGCTATTACTGGAAGTACTCTTGTTGGGGCGATCAGCAAGCTCAGCTTGAGGGAATTCAACGACGTCGTTATAGGCTCCGTAGAGTTGTGGGAACTTTCCCATCTGCATCTGCATCATCATCACCATTTCCATCTGATCTTCCGTTGCAGGCTTTAACTGGTCAACTTCCATGGCTATTGTTACAGAGCTGTGACCGAGGGGAACCTGATAAACAGAGTGATGGAGAAGAGTAGGAGTTTATCAGAATCTGCAGTGAAGGGATGAGAAGAATGTGAAACTACAGTAATGAGAGAAGAAATGGAGGGGAAAAAGAAATAATAAAATAGTTATATATCTGGAACATGCTATCAATCTGTAGTGGGGAATAGATGACTATATATAGCATAAAGTGGTTGAATATCATATTAAATAAAAAATATTTTTCGTGAAACATCTCTTTTCGTGTTAGGATGAGAGATCCTACTTTGAATTGGGTCTTTTCGTGAAACACTTGCACTATTTTTCAATTCAGAATTTCCAGGTTACATGTAGTGAAAAGGATTAGATATATAGTTATTTACGACTCTTAATAATTGGTTGAATAACAAAAATATTATATCGCCTCGTACATCTTTACGAATTGAATTATTATTTTTAGTTAATATTTTCCTTTTATGTACATAGAGTTGCCAATCTCATTAAAAAAATATTTAAAATTATAATAAAATTAAACAAATTGTTAAAACACTTTTTTATAATAATTGACACAATAAACTAACAATACGAGATCATGCAAGGATCGTATAAATAAAGTATTAAAACTCATTCAAAAGTTTAAACAAATGATAGATACAATCAAATTTAATTAAATCGACAAATAAACCGTAATAAGATATTAAACTTATGAAAAATCACCCACAATTATAAATTAAAATCGAGTTCGTAATGTTTGTGTCCAAATTTAAATTGAAGCCAATAATTTAAAATAAGAGAAATCAACCGGATAATAAATATCGGTGGATACCACGTCATGCACCGTAAACCAACCTCTTCATTTTCACCCTTTTCACTTCGTTCTGTGGGGGGGGGGGGGGGAGCCCGCTGTTTTCGAGGTTTCTTTTCTGACGCCGACCTGCTTCATGTGCTGGAGTTGGTAACTATTTTTACCCTGCTCTGCACTATTTCCTCAGATCATTTTTTAATTAAATTTATTATATTGTAATTTAACATATTAATTTAATTATATTATATTCTTCTATTGTTCGCCAAAAAATTTTAAAGAGTTTGAGAATTAAATGATGAAAAGAATAAATTTTATATGTCTGAAGTTTTGAATTTTAATTTGACTTATGAAAGATGGAATAAATAAAAATGAAAAGAAAATATAAGAATAAAGTGATAAATCTAAAATATAATATACAATTCTTATTAATCACATCATAAATCTCAAACTAATAACCAAGGTGAACAAGTTATTCATAGCTTAAGATGGAAACAAAACTTAGGAAAAGAGCAATCTGAACATAATCTTATGTTGGGTTCAAAGTAATCAAAACTTTCATCATTTGGAAAAAAAAAAGTAAAAATACACCAACAGTTACATCTTCTGATCTTCAACCTTGGCTTAGAAGCTGTTAACCTCTTTCTGATACCTTATACGGGTTGACTGGAAATACCAACATTTTTTACTGGATAAGAGAAATTCTAAAAATATCAATGTACCTTAAGGTACACAAAAATGCGATGATCGCCGAAGGTTGTACTAACAAATTGGGGTATTTTTTTTTGTTTTATTGTTTCTAAACAGCTTAGAGTTGGCTGTTTTTCTTCAGGTCTGGTAGGGGTACGTACACCTTTCCCTGCACAGACTAAACCTGTTTTTCTCTACCAAGTTGATAACTTTTTTTTATTCATCGACAAAAGAAAAATAAGAAAATTCCAAAATCCAATTTTGAAATCAATGGAAAAACAATAATGTGGAAAGTTCAGACAAGAAAATTTAAGTTTACAGCCTCTTTGAATTTAATGTTGCAGGGGCTTCTGGTTGCTTACAGGCTACGGAGTACTAGTTTAGATTTCTTCTCAAATTTTAACATAGGGGATAATGTCAATTTTTTTTTTTTTTGTTCTTGTATTTTAGTTTTCAGATTCTGATCAGCTGAACACACAAACACAATGATATATTGATGTGGACATCGATGAGATGTGAATTAACAATGGTTAACTTAACCCTCCAACGAACGACCAAGCTTTGATTTTGCCATTTTTGCAAGAGACAAACACAGTGAATTTAATTACCCTGGTAGCAGCTTTTTTTAATTTCTGTATGGCAAAGGATATAGTATTGTGAACAGTGGTTATTGACAGCTGTCCCATTCACGTAATGTACAGATATTGAAAAAAAAAATTGAAGGCATGCAAAAATATTTTCAGAGCTAAGCACTTTTGCTGGGATTATATCTCTCTTGCATTACATTCTTCGGATATAACTTTGCCTTGTCTAGCAGATTAATATGGTAACCTCTAACCGCATTGATGACTTCAGAATCCCAGAGTTGAGGTTTTAAGATATCCTTTTGTGAAGAGAAAAGTGAGGTTTTGCCTATTATTCTTTTGTCCTGTGCAACAACACCAGCAATGCAAAACATAAAAAGGGCTTTCGATCATCCTGATTCCAAAGCAACTGAGTCGGAGATTGACAGATTAACCAGAAGCAAGAGAGTAAAAACCACCCGTTTCCTCTCTCTGTATGTAAACTTTATTGTAGTAATAATTATAAATCAAAGTGTTTGTTGAAATATTTTATATTTGCGAAGGACATGAGCAAAGAGACATGTTCTCTGCAAGAAGAGGATCGATAGGATAAAAAGAATCCAGAGAAGCAAGATTTTGTTGTTTGTTGGGTTGGTTTATTTTACTTTGCAGTTGCACCACCTTCTCTTCTCATCCCCACATCCCTTTTATATTAATGTTTTTCCCTATCTTTTATATAATGTCTTAGCTCAAAAATAAGAGCCTACACTATAGTTTGTGTTTTGCTATATTTTTATTACTTCAGTTGTTTATTTATTTTTTGTTAAATTCAATTTCTAATATTTCATTTACTTGTTATTTTAAAACCTAATTATTAATATGTGTAAAAAAAATATCATCCAATAAATATATGACATGTGACTTCTAAAATTCTTAAATCTTTAATTCTCAAATATTTAAATCGCCATAGAAATCAATCACAACCACCGTTTCTCCCGTGATTGGTACAAGTTAAAGAGGAAAAGGAATAGGTCAATAATGTTTGGTTTCGATTTTAGAGAGGATTGAGTGATCGATGATTATTGAAAGTAATTATAGAAACATGGGTGAGTGATTCAATGGAAGAGGGGTACATCAATGATAAAGAGAGTTGCTCGGTCGGACTCACATTTTTGAGAGAGAAGAAAGAGGTGGTCGAAAGGATAAAGAGATTACATTTTTTTTAAAAAATAGAAACTTTATTTGTATAAATTAGGAATGTTATGAGTTTTTTAAATTAAAAGTTTTATATATTCTTGAAAATTAAAAATCAGGTTATATGTTAAATAATGATTTAATAATACTTGTTTAACGTATGATAATTTGATCTTAAAATAATAATTAAATAAAACATTTAACATCTATTTTAATTAAAAAATTAAACAATTAAAAAAGTATAATCCAAACTTTTGTTTTTAAGATAAAGCTTACAAGTATAATATATCAATCCATCATAACAAACAAAAACACTGTTATCATTATTATGTTCATATAATTCTTACTTCTTTCCACTTCCTTCACCCCTTCTTCGGGAACTGCAGGGATTAGCAGATGAGGGAACGAAAGAAAATATAACATTATTTTATTCAATGAAAAGAAAAATGGTCCCACCTCTCCTCTCTCTGCATGATTTTCAACATTTTCAATTTGGGATCGTTTTCAAGTTGCCCAATTGCACAAAACAGAAGGTAAGTAAGCATCTTTACGACTGTTTTATTTCTCTCCTACTTATTGTTCCAAGTTCCAACCTCCCAATTTCCATAACCTGTTGTAATTAGTGTTTCTCAAAAAAAAAAAATAGCAAGTAGTGGAAGAACTGAGCAGAGTGAGCTTTAATTTCACTTCGGAATTCCTTTTCAAACAAGTGAATTAAGGGCCTTAGAAGCCTCAAAACATTATTGACAAGTAGTTGATGGACCCTTACATTATTAAGGGACAAAAAGCAATGGAATTATCCTAAGTATAATATTGGCAACTTCTAATGATGTATGCCACCATTGCTGGACCCATCAAAATGCTGGGTTTGATTCCCACAGGCCTACCACTTGAATCTGATACAACGAAATAGGAACAAGAAAATCTGCAATTACAGGATTTCTTCTCAGAACATGTTAATAATTCCATGTATAAATAATTCTTTAGGGGTTAACTAAATCTTGCCATGTTGAAATCCAACTTCATTTGAATATATATATATATATATATCAGATTATAAGTTTTTTTTAAAATTCTTTGATAGCATTAATTATATTATCAACTTGGCTCTGCACACGTTACAGAGCTTGAATATGAAATTCAAACAATTATTGAGGAAAAAACTATATATTACACCCAAAATAGATTCCAGGATATACAAATTAATACATGTATACTTTATCTTATTAGATCTAACATTTGAATGTCTATAATGCAGGCCTGCATGATTATATTTTTAAGTCCCTGGATGTGATTACATAGCAGAAGCATCACTCATCAATGTGAACAATTTGTCTGTCATGAATCTTCATAATCTTTCTAGAATATGTTCCATTATCATGGTACAAAAAATTTGATACTGATTTCTTGTTTGTAATTGATACAAAATTGGAATTGTTACTGGAGTTTATCATAACCTAGCAAGATGTTATTAGATGAAAACTAATTCTCAAATGAAACTTAGAAATGAGAGGGCGGCGGGGAAAAGAAGTGAAAGAACTAGAGCCTTGAAGGGGGGCAATAACTCTCTTGTGATCATAAAAAGGAAAACCGGTGGATTGTTTGTACAAACAGTCTCAGAGTTGGTTCACTTCAGACCATCCCATTTGTTTTCCATCTAAGAGCTCATTGATGCAGAATTCCTGCAGGTTGTCATAAATGTTTTTCAATTGCCGAACCCATCTGTGCCTAGTTCTTTTGCCAACAAGCCTCAATCTCTTCACTTCTATTTCAGTTGCAGCAGAAGAGCCTTGTTACTGAGAACAAAGGGAGAACAAGAGTTTAGAGAAAGGTGTTGATTTGATGGAATATAAAATACATACGATAAATAATTAGACATCATTAAAGCGAAGAAAACTATGAAGAAGGTTCGCTTGCTTGCTGGTAATAAGTGAAGTTGAAACCACAATAATTACATTATTGTGGCCTATAATTAAATATGCGATAAGTTTTAAAGTAAAAATGATGCTCTTTAATGCGGTCATTGGTTATCTGAGAATGAAGGTATGACGGGAGGCCACTTGTAGCACGGAGAGTAAGGACAACCTAATTGTCCATATCTTCATCAGACGAATTTGCATATTTTTCTAGTGGAGGTGGTAATTGTTGCCTTCTCGAGGAAGCTTGCCCTTTTGGTCTTGCCTGATCAAGATGGTGTGGGCATCTAATAATGAGAAGATTGTACAAAGGCCTGATTATGATTGAACACCAGTTAAATGAATTGGACGTGATTAAAATGAATATCATGAAAAAAATATAGTAGGAAAAAGGTAAAGGAAAGGCACACCAAATAGATGATGGAGAATGAAACTGATCTTTGGGTAATAAAAATAGAAACTTCCACTTATACTAGATTCTTTTGTTTGTTGATAACAAGCACGAAACTATTATTGAAACACACTTTTAAAAGAGTACAGAGAATAATTCTTTTAGCATCAAGTATGATTAGGATAAACGAACACAGTCTATTATGATGGAACATTAATATGAAATTCTTGGCACTTTTTAAAAAATTTAGCCAGCTGCCAAAGACTCATAACTGGTACTCCTTCAGAAACAAGGGATTTGATCATAACTAGCCCAAAGTAGTCTGCTTTTCTATTTCTCTTAATCGTTTCTCTTTGAATGTTTGGGTTCTTGCCCAATAGACTGTTTTACACTGCCTATTTTAAGATAGTAATAATATAATTTTACGCATGCAGCATAGATTTGTTGTGAGGACGATGCAAAAATGAACAGTCAGTGTGCATATAGGTTAAAGCTCAAAAATAAAAGTATGCAATCTAATTAAAGCCCTATGTAGAAAACAGGCAAAATTTCTAGTTGTCTGAATATAACCTTTGGCATGTCTGAACAACGAATGATGCTTTGGGTTTTCACGTCCCAAATTCAAACCATGCCATCCTCAGATCCAGATAGTAGTAGAATTCCTTCTGCAATATATGTCGAGCAAGACTTACTGTTCCAACTTAAATAGAAAAACTGTTAGTAAAAAGGGCAATTAAGAGGGATATAACAATTAGCCTTCTGAAGTTTTAATGAGGGATGCACAGTATTTACCCTAATTCACCAATGTTATTAGTCCATCTATGACAATAATATGACATATAAGTAATTTCATGTGGTGTGATTGCAACCTTCAATTTTTGTTCTACCCTTCTTCTTGATGCGTAATAATCAGAAGTATTTGTACACTCCTCCTTCAATCTAGGTGATGGATTATAGAATTAGAAGCCACCATTTTAAGGACCAAACTAAAGTATAAAATGATACAAGACCAACATCGCAGGCTAACCCTGCCAGAATTACTTAATATTGTAAAGATGGGAAAGACAAAAACAAATAACAAAATAACACCTTTGATCAAATAGTGAACAAATGATGAGCAACTCAAGACTGTTGCTACGGGAACTTTCGGCATGAACTTGGCTACCAGCATAGAAGACATGTTATGGGGTCAAGAGCAATTGCATCAATCATGGAAGGAAACACAATGTTTCTTAATGATCTTCCCCTGGACAAGCTCCCTACCTATCATCAATGCACAATATATAAAGAAACCTTTAAAAAATAACTAGAAGGACAAAAGGTTAACTTCATATATTAGTTAAAAAAGGCATCAGAAATACAGCAGGTAATTACAGGATGGAAGTGGAAAGATCTTCCATGAAATAGGGTTCCATAACCGTCACCATAGACATTAGTACATTACATGCATTTGAGCTTTAACTAAAAGCATGACAAACCTTACATGTGCGATCCTCAGAAGCAGACACTATAACTGCATTGTCTCCACCATAACCCATAACGATATCATCAGAGTATGTTCTGTAAAACTGCTCATAGAGATGACTAGCCTGCTGCCTTCTATCATCATCAAATATCCTATTACAACAAACAATCAAAAACACATACTAGGTAATATCCGTGACCACAATTATTAAATTAATATATGCAATCCTAACAGAATATAGTAAGGGTTAGAATAAGGAACATGTACATGAAAAGAGACAAGACCCTAACACATCCATCCTCTGATCCAGAAATGAGAAGTGAATCGTCCTCGAAAAAAACCAAGAATAAATTGCCTTTATAATGAGCGTGAAATTTCTTTAATATCTTACCCGTTGCAACCTAAATTGTAAAAAAAAAGTACCACCTAAAAGCCTTAGCTTTGACTAAAATATCACCGGCAAATGAATCTTACCTCCCAAAGGTAAATATCACCAGATGAACCTCCACCGGCATTGTAACTACTAACTACCTTCACTATTATCAGCGAGCGGCGCGGGAAAGCTTTTAACTTTTTCCCGAGGCTGTGGAGCAAAATATGTAACCATAAAAAAATTAAAAGTTTAGGCAAAGAGTCGAAGAGTTAGGATGGTTATTAAACCTTGGAGCAAGACCAATAAAAGACGCGGCCAGAAGTGGCGGATGATTCGCGAAGTTAAGTGGAATCAAAAAAATTGAAACCTACGGAGGCGAGGCCGTGAACGGAGTTGCTCCGCCCCTGATTGTAGGTCCCAGCAACCAATGCCCCTGTCGATCGAAGACGATGCATTTACTACATTCTTCGTATCGACTGGTTTTTGTTTGAATTGGGTTTTTACGATATCGACTGGGGAGTTTCGTTAGGGTTTAAGTGCAGAGGAGAATGCTGGGCTTTGATGAGGTAGTTTTGCTACTTTATCTCCCATATTGGGCTGCATAGTAATAAGGCTAAGGTGTGTGAGACTGTGAGTTAGCCTTCAAATGGGCCTCAAACTCGATTTCTCTCTCTCATTTTGTATGTTCAGTTGTTAATGTTGTATATCGGCAATGTGATAAACTAACAAATAAGGTTAATTATAATTGGTATAATGTAAAAAATAAATTTTAATATTTCATTAATTAATAACTTTAGTACTTAATGTTTTATTTTATTTATAACGATTCTTTTTAGATGAAAATCATTAATTAATTCTCAATCAACACTTGTTTATTGATGTGCTACATTCATATGTACTTGAGTATTGATATGGTACAATATCACATTAATATTTTTTTTTTAAATATACCATGTCAACAAAAATATTAATCTAATTTTATTTAATAATTATTTTTAATTCATTTCAACCTATTAGATTATGACAAATGTCATCATTTAACCGATTTAAAAATTAAAAGTTAAAGAAACATGGTTTTGGACACATGGGAGATCAAATTTGGGTCTAATTGGAGAGGGTTTAATACACATGATTACTTGATTAACTTTTTAATTGTTATAATGGTTAAGGTGATTATTCAGTCAACATTAACAATTATTTTTTGCACATAAATTTTATAAAATAACAGTTTATATTTATATTTTATTTATTTTTCATATTCTTAATAAAAATCCTAAATATTCTTTCACTACTCTTTTAACCTGTACTCTTCGCTTTGACCACCATCTGTTGATGTATGCCATTTAAATTTGTGAATATCTTTTGTTACTCTTTTAACCTATAAAGTGTTGGACCAGAAGAAAAGCTAAAACAAAGTGGATTTATAAAGTGAAAACAAGAAGTGTCATGTCTTTATAAATCACGTTTTACCTCATCCTGTCTCTAAACTTTTGAGGAAAAAGAAACAAAATAAAAGAAGTTTTTTATTGGTTCAACACGACAGCTTCTTTCTAATTTCATTAACCATAAACTTATCTTAAATCAAATCTCAAACACATAATTTCATCTTAAATTGCAATTTTGTATGTCTAAACGCACTGGCGGAGCCGGCATGTGTCGAAGTGTGCCAATTGACACCTAAAAAGTTTTTAAACTTCCTTTTTGGTCCATATAAATTATATATATATAATATAAAAGAAAACAAAATGACACCCCTTTTAAAAAGGTTTTGACACCCTTTAAAAAGTAAATTAATCCCATATTTGAAAAAGTATTTAATAATGAATAAAATTTAATTTCCCCACTTAATTTTTTTATATAATTTTTAAATTTGACACCCCAAACTTTTTTTCAAGCCATCCTTTTACATCTCACGTGCAGTACCTCCAACAACTCCAGAAAGACATATATGTAGTGTCAAACTAGCTAGGTTTATTAATTAGGGTTTGGGTGTTTTCTTGTTTAAAATACATTTATGTCTCACGTAGTTTTCTCAGTCTTAGGTAATTAATAACTGCATGAAAAATATACGGAAAGAAGCAGATTCAAGAAAAAAAGCAAAGAGACTGCTAAAATGCTTAGTCAAACATGATGTGAAAACTTTATTTGTATTGGGATTTTGGACAAAGAGACAACAAGTAGAAGACATTAAAGAGAAGAAGGGTTTCATTGCTTAAGGTCTATAAGACTATGACTCTATGCGTTCCTCTATGATCTTTTCTATGGGCTTTTCGGGTGTGGAAGAAGTGGAAAGAGGGATTGGAATTAGTAAAAAAGAAAGTGGGATCCAAAGATGGATTTCGAAGACGTTGATCAGATACTTAAAGTAGGAAAAAGCAAAGGTTTCCTGGTCCTCAGAAGAAGTATAGAAGCCTTGATTGAAACATTTCTAACCAGCATTTATGTGTTTTCTCTGTTATTTCGCTTTCATCGAATTACTCATTCTTTTGGAGTTTTCTCTCTCTTTGGCTCCTATCTGATTCTCAAATTTAATACTCTGTAATTGGGGGTTTTCTTTCTTTCTTTTCATCGATTGACTGACAGTTCAGAGGAACAACTAGAAATAATAATGGAGTTGATTATGATTACGAACTTCATGGAACGAAATGATACCCTTCTTTTTTGACAATAATAGAGATGATATTAGTGATAATACTGATCATAATTACACTGATGCGAAACCAATGTCAGTTGCATTTTTTACCCCCACCTCATTTTTATGGAGTAGTAAATGGTATCAAAAGCATAGTTGTACGTATCAGTCATTAATGGAGTAACCAGAGAAAGCCCTCGAGAAGTTGGCAATGAGGCAGCTATAGCCAGAGATTTTCTCAGGCTCTCAGTTTTCTTTTCTTTTCTTCTCATTGGAACTGAAAAGAGAGTTACCATGACACTGGCTGCCTCTCTCCTGCATTAATGCAAGCATACATGTAACTGGAACATACGGACATCAGAATCGTGAATAAAGGGAGAAGAAAAAGAGTATGAGCAATAAATTGCACCAATGGAAAACTGAAGAAACATCAAAGAGAAAAGATTGGTGTTGAGGTTTTGAACTTTCATCTTAACTAACCAAAACCCTCCTGCATTTATATGGCTGAACAACATATTACCGGCACTAAAATTATATACACCGTCACAAACACCCATACACACGCAAAATATCCTTCAACAATATCATCAGACTCTAAGAGATAAACAAAGACAATTAATAAATAAAAAAACCAAAAAGAAGTTGGAAAAGGGAAGCTAGAATATTCTTGAATGGATATATATATGAAACTAACACGTAGGAGGCATAAGGTTCAGCCGTAAATCATCTTTTTCCAACACCAGACGTGCTTTGCTAGTCTCCATGTTAGTTGCACCATACTCCGGGTGGACCCTCTTCTTGGATTGTAAGGACACACCAAAGAGCTTGGTTTTGCAACTGTTGCTGCATGGTTCTTCAAGAATCGTCAAGGAGCTTTTTGAGGTAGCAGTTGGAGAGTTCAAAACTTGCATTCGGGGCATGGGATAATAATGCCCAAGATGATGGTTCGAAGGCTTTTGCAATAATGAACTATTATTATCGGTATTAGTGACGGGAGGAGGAGAGGATGAAGGAGGGCCATAGCGAAGCATGGAAGGGGAGTATGAATTGCTAGGAGTGACCGGCTGAACATGGTTTTGAACAATATAGATAATATCACTATAAAGCTTTTTCATATGGGCAAGTTCAGACACCAGGAAACTGTTTCTTTTTCTCAGCCTCTCATTGTCCTCTGATAAAGCTGTGACTGAACAGCTGTTATAGCCTCCAACCCCGCCGCCACCAACAACTGAGATTCCAGTGCCTCCTCTTGGTGAAGAAACAGGCGGCGAGTCACACCAGTTGGCTTGTTCATCCGAGTCTGGTGGAGAAGTGCTGAGTCGGCTAGGAAATGGAAAGAAACTCGGGACATTAACCAAAGGAGAATGTGGTGGGTGGTGGTGATGATAGTTTATCCCCACTTGCGGTTGCGCGGTCTTTCTTCTGTGGATCTCACAAAGCAAGTGTTTTTCACCTTTCTTAAAGAACTCATTGGCAAATTCCCATCTGTCCGGTACAATCTTCCTAAAACCCTAGTTTTCATTAAAAAAAAGAAGCAAAACCCAGATCAGTAAAATAACTAAAAATCCAAAGATTTTAGAAAAATAAAAATAAAGAGATAAAGATTGAGCTTTTATACATAAGTATTGAGCTGTCTGACAAAGCTAGAGAAATTGTTGTGCTTGAAGTAATTGGGAAGGAGATCACGAGCAAACTCAGGAGGTCTCCAAACAACAAAAGTAGTATCATCTTCACCCCACGAAACTATGTGGTCGGAGGTGGGATCATCGACTAGTTGGTAGGTTTTAGTGAGGAAGGGTGCCGGCACTGATTTATGGGAGTCGAGTGATAGTAATATCCCTTCACAATTATCAAGCATCAAAGCCATTGAAAGATGGAAAAAAAGGGAGTGAAAGAGAAGGAAAAGCAAGGAGAGAGACGTTTAGAGGGAGATAGCAGGGGTCTTGGAGAAGACGATCAGGTCAGGACAGATAGTGGAAGGGCAGATCCTTTGGTGGGATAAAAATGTCTGGAAAAGGGGGGGGGTACTGTAAAGAAGCGGTTGTTTTTTTTTGGCTGTATTATTTTTTTCTTTGTAATATTTAATGTGTGTTTTTTGGGGTGAGTATTTGTATATATATTTTTTGGTCCCTCCTCGGTTATGTAGTGAGCGAGAATATGTGTCTTATGTCTGTCTAGGACAGTTAAATAAGGGCCTTCCAAGACAAACCCGTGACTCTCCTTCTCTCTTCAAATCAAGCACAGGGAGGATGGCTGGTTGCAGTAAGTCGTTGGGAATTGACAATGAAACCCTTTGTCACTACTTCCCCTACTATATTTTAACGTAGCAAATAGAAATAACAGTATCATGAAATAGTCAACAGGTCCTCAGTAGCCCAGAAGCATCGTCTTTGGTCTCTTTTGCATTGGGTAATATGGTCAAGGGAAAGGCGTCTCACACTTCATGTCAAAACGAGGGTCCTCTTTTCCATTTTGTTGCTTTGCGTTTGCTGTTTAATATCAACAAAGCAAAAGACACAGTAGTATTTAGAATCCCATGATTTTCCTATACGATATAGGACTCTCTACCATTGCCCTTTTGTTTCTGTTCTTTGCTTTCGTAATATGCCAAACTTCAATATCAAAAGGTAAACATACATGCCCTCTAGCCAGGCTGATGTTTCTTCCCATTGAGCCTCCAACTTTCTTTGCTGATGTTTTCTTTCAGGTGATTGAATTATTGGCTCTAAAAGTTTCCATTGAATAACAGAAAACATCACAGCTTTCCTTTTCTTTCTTGTAATCTTCCAATAAATATTTGTTTTATCTCTCTCTCTCAACGAGGGGGGCCATGGAAAATATATTCTTA